CACCATGCCGACTAATTTTTCTACATATATTAGTTGGCCAATTAATTTCTTTCTATTATAGTAGAGACGGTCTCGCTCTTGCTCAGGCTGGTTTCGAACTCCTGACCTTGAGCAATCCCCGCTCGGCCTCCCAGAGTGCTAGGATTACAGGCGTGAGCCACCGCACCCTGCCTATAATATCCTATTTTTGATTCATAGATATTATACCTTCTCATAATTTTGAGAACTGAGATTTTTATTCTCTTTTGGTTTTCTTCTGCATTATTCTTGCTACATTTATTGTTGTTTAGTTTTTAGCTTTTTATTTCATGTTAGGGATTTTCCTAAGATGTTTGGCAATCTTTTGTCCTATGTTCATGTTTACGAAAGGGGCTTTAAGACGCTAAATGGAAGTTTTGAGGGCTAGATGGAGTTTGTCAAAGATGGTCTTTAATGGAAGGTAGTCTGGCCAAGTCATTTTCCATTGGCAACCCCCTGATTTCCACACCGTTAGGTTTTTTATCTTAAGCTGGTCAGATTCTCCAGAGAAAGACTGTCCAATCTGCTTCCTGGATGGTTTAAATAGGGTTGATAGTATTTTGGAAACTGAATTAGGTATGAGACTGAAGGGATACAGCAAGGGGGGATGGTAGTCAGTTAGTATCTTATATTCAGTACATAATCTCTACCCTCAACTATGCATAGAGCCAAACACCATGCATCTGACCTTCTCCGAGGAATAAACCTCAAGTCTTCTGCAGGAGTGGTAGAATATAGAAGTGATACAGGGATCTAACTATTTACTACACAGATCTCAGTCAATCCTCTTTTTTCTAGATAGTAGTTTTATCTCCACCTTCACAGTCCCCCAGTTTCCCTAATTCCTGAGTCTTTGGGGGTATTCTGCAGTGTATACCAAATTGCATCTCAACTTTCTCCCCTGCCAGCTTAAGTTTTAGCTTTCTCAAATTTGAGAAATCAATTACTATTAATCTACCTGTTTTCCAGCTTCTAGAAGTTTGTTGTTGTTGTATCTTCTTTCTTTTTTGTCAATGTGGACTTAGATCATTTATATATATTTTTTAAAAGTCCTTTTATCATTTTAATAGGGGTTTTGAGAGGAATAAAAGTAAACATGACTTTTAGATCCACTATCTTTACCTGGAAGATCCAAAAGACTTTTTTAAAAAGTTTTTTTTTTTTATTGTCGTTCAAACAGTATAGAAAGGTGTCCATCCCCTCCCCATCCTCATGTATCCCTGAAGACACACAATCCGCAGAAAAGAAGCTGGGAATACGCTGGAATTTTTCATACTGAGACACTACAAATGTCCTTAAATCACAGAAATTTTAAAGAAGGGACTCAAGTCCAGTGAAACACCTCAAATTTCAGCAAGCAAATATCGTGTTAAGTTTCCTGCTAATTCAATTGTTTGAAAAAAAACTTTAATTCCATTGTTATTCAAAACTATATTTTTAAGAAATCAGGCCAGGCACGGTGGCTCACGCCAGTAATCCTAGCACTCTGGGAGGCCAAGGCAGGCGGATTGCTCAAGGTCAGGAGTTCGAAACCAACCCGTCGCCCTCCCCCCGCCTTCGGCCCCCCCGTGGCCCCCCCCCCCCCCCGCCGCCTGAGCAAGGCAAGGACGCCCATCTCTACTTAAATAGAAAGAATTAATTGGCCAACTAATATTATAAAAAATTTAGCTGGGGCATGGTGGCACATGCCTGTCAGTCCCCGCTTACTTGCGCGGAGGCTGAGGGCAGGAGGGATTGCTTTGAGCAGGAGGTTTGAGGGTTGCTGGTGGAGTAGGCTGCAGTTGCCACGGGCCCACCTCACTCTAGAGCCTCGGCCACAAAAACCGAACAAAATGGCGAGACTCTGTCTCAAAAAAAAAAAAAAAAAAAAAAAGAGAACAAAAAGCAGTAAAAGACAAAATTAACAATGTATTTGATAGAAATACTCAGAAATACAACAAAAAAGAAATCTAAATACTCATATGAATATTGATATAAAAATAATAAAATAATAAAAAAGGAAGTCAGCAATAAATTTAAATAATATAAGTATAGTTCATCATGGAAAGGCAAGAATAATTTAATATTAGAAATTCTATTAATATTGCTTACCATATTGACAATGTCAGAGATAAAAACCATAATTGTCTTCATAGATGCTGGAAAAGCATTTGATAAAATTTGTGGCCACACAAAAGTCTTAATAAAGTAGAAGAAATGGATACTTTCTAAACATGATAAAAATTACCTACAATCAAAAGTCAACATCATACTGAAAGCTCAAATAGAAGTACTCTCTTTAAAACTGAAGCAATAACTACAGTGGGCAATTTGGAAATATCTACCCCAAAAGATGCATATACCATTGTTTTAACAATGTCACTTCTGGGAATTTTCCTACTTTATTTATAAGGAAAAACTTGAGGAAAACAATTAAATGTTCATCAATATGATGACATCCATACGACAGAATACTAGGTGGCCTAGAAAAGGAATGAGCTAGACCTAATGTGGCAATCTAAAATGAGGATCAAAATATATTAAATAAAAAAGGTCCAATGTGGTATGCACAATATACTCCCCATTTGTTTGAACATGTGTCCTCTTGAATAATATTTCTCGGAGGGTATAAATTAGGAGGGGAGAGAAGGACTTGGAGCATGGAATAGGAAGGAGACAACTTTTCATTGTCTAAGTTTTTACACTGCTTGAATTTTTCTCATATACATGGGTTATTTTTTCAATTGACAAAAGTCAATAGCAAATAAATGTGAAAATCACAAAATGCTTGGGGTATGTTTCTGCCAATATGTTGTGAAAATTGAATAATTTATACGTCCACAGTACAGACTATAAACCCTGTTTTCCTCAGTATCCTGAATACAGTTCAGAACAAGCTACAATAAATACAACATCTAACTCTGAAAATAAAAACAAAAGGTTTTCTATAAAAAAGTGAAAATAAACAATTTATCCTAAGAAAAATACTCCAAAATTCAAGAAGAGAGGTAAGTCAATAAAAATTCATATTTGGAAAAGATCTATGAAAGTAAGGCAAAATCCCCATCACAGGAGAGGAAGTTAGGAAGGTTTATTAGAGAAGTGAAGAAAAGAAAATCTCACTCAGAAGGCCTTCTATTACCCATCAAGTCTACCATCCTCAGAGAAGAGGAAGCATCACCTAGGAAGAATTCTTGCCAAAAACTTCCAGTTTATAGGAAATACAGAGAGGTTAGAGGAAGAAGGAAACAATCAGAAAATCCATAATCTGAAACAATCTATGAGACAAATGCCCTGGTCTCTTCAGCAAGTCAAAGTCATGAGAAAAAAAATGCAAAAGAAAAACTATTCTATATTAAAGAGACTTAAGAAATGTGACAACCAAACAAATGGCTGATCTTTGAATCTTAGTTTGAGCAAACAAGCTCTAAAATGTATGTGGTGACAACTGGGAAAATGTAAATATGGACTGGTTTGGGGGGATCTGTCCTCCAGGGGAAGATCAGAAGGTAGTATTACATTGACTATTAAGAGGAAACCAGACTAGGGAACACAGAAGCTTATGTGTTTAAAGTGCATTTTAGGCAGCAAACTGCTCTGAAGCATTGCCACTATCTGGGTTTAAAGCAAAGTTGAAATTATGCATTGTGGTAAAATTCTTCCATTATGTAAACTTGTATTCTCATTAAAATGAAATTACATAAAACTGAAAAGTTGCAAACTGCTAATCTGCATTCAGGTATTATGTCACTCTGTAAGTCTTTTTACGTTTGCATGTGCTCACATCCAGTGAAATCAGAGGAAATAGAAAGAGTGGTCCAGGAAGACAATGTCTACCCTTTTATATTCCCCCACATATTTTCTTTATAGTATACAATGTTAGGGCATACAGTTTGCTAATTTTAACTGAGTAATAAAATATGCATGTGTTCACAATGAATTTTAAGCTAACGTAATACTGTGAGACCTTGATAAATAAGAAGTAGCAAACCATACAGAACAAATATATTGATTTAAAGGTGCAATGCAATGAGGCTCAAAGGACAAGAGACATGTTCATGAAAATAAGAGTTACTGTAAAGCTGTGTTTTTCAATAAGAGAAAAAAAGCCTCTGCGATTTGCTAATTATGTCTATCACAAATAAAACAGTTGCATTAGAATATGTACTCATGAACCTGGTTAGGAAGCTAGGAAGGTTATGTAATGACTTACATAACGATTATGTAATGACTTACATAATGATTTTCCTGGATACAACTTTGCTTGGGGGTAACCAGGGATCATTTTTTCATCTTTAGCTCTAAGATTTTCAAGTTCATGTTTGATAATGAATTGACATTCTGCCATTGTGAGGAAATCATCATTGTTATCTAAAATAAAACAAAAATTTCTAGTTATTTTCTCAATAACAATCAAAATCAAGTAATATTCTAATTACCTGGCATTATAGAAATAATGATATAAACAATAAACAACATAAGGTAATCAAAGTATAAAACTGGTAAATTAAATTGAACATAAAACTCCTTAGATATTTTATAAAAATAAAAAGATTTTGTTAGACCTTCACATCATACAATTTCTCGATCATTTCAATAGTTATTATATAACTTGTCACATTCAAATAACATACACCTGATCTCATTTAGTACCAATGAGCAGAAAGCAATACATTCTTGAATTCTAACAATACAATATTTTTAACCAGGGATGGAATTGAAGCTGTTTGCCTATATGGCAAATTCTCCTCCTCCAAACTTGTAAGCCCATTCTATTCCCTTCTGAAGTTAGACATCACTCCCATACATGAGGGAGAACAAAGTCTTGTAAGAAAATGATGTCACTTTTTGACAGGTGAACCTTCTTAAATAAGATAAATTTCACCTTCATCATTTATTCACTAAGGTATAAAAATCCAGAGTAAGTGAGTCTGAAGAAGTCTAATCACATCTTCTAACTCTGAAAGCCCTGGAAGGGACCAGTCTGTTTCTGAAGCCAAACTTGCATCCTGCTACCATATCTACACTGGCTTTCTCAGTTCTTCCAGGAAAATGTTCTCTATTGGAATCTGCTTTGGGGCCAGCACAAAACCAATTACCCTACCACATTCAGTACGAGCCAGAAAATTCAGTAAATGAGGTTTCTAGGATACTGAACTACTATTGTGTTTCTTATTTCAAGATTTTTCTATCTCAAGCCAGTAAATATTCATTATTATAAGAATTACAATAGAATAATATAAATTACACATGTCCTTCTAATTTGTGTTCATCTATTCCAGAGGTGGCAAAGTATGGTCTGTGGGCCAAATTTGGCCTGCCACATGGTTTTATAAATATAGTTTTATGAGAACACAGTCTCACCCATTCATCTACTTGTGGTCTAAGGCTATTCTCTTCCTCTCCAATGGCAGTGTTGAGTAGTTACAGCAGAGACCACATGGTTTGCAAAACTTAAAATATTTAGTATTTGGCCCTTTACTAAATACGTTTGCCGACCCCTGATCTATTCATTGAAAACTTCTTTTTGATTAATGGATCCTGGCAGAAACAAAGAATTTGGGGCTTACCATCAAAACCTTTGAAATTCTGTCGAGTCCCGTATGTGAAGGCTCTCATGGTGTTATCATGGCACTCTTTCACCAATCCCACTGCTTCTGCTCCCAGTAACAGTCTAATCTTGGAGGCACCAACAAGATATAAGTTCTGATTTTCTAGTGTCTCTCTCTCATATTTATTTAACAATGGTCTAAACAACAACTGGGCACCTTTAAAAACAAAATGTAAGCACAATCTTAGAAAGACAAACATTAAAGTTTCAAAAATGAAAACCTTCTTAATAAACATAATATTTCTAGTTTGGTGGAAGAAAAAAATTATATTTACAATTTAAATCTATCTTCCAAGTAAATAAGAACTGTAAGTAAGTTGGGGATGGCAGTTCCTTATAGTTTTTTAATAACTGCAATAACTGAAAAATGTAGCAATGAGTAGCTTGCCACTTATGAAAATTAGAAGTAGATATGAGATAAGAATCCAACATTTATGGGCTCTAGGTATAAAACTGTACTGAGTGAAAATATGAAGCAAAGCAATGCAGTTTCTTAATGTAAACATAATGGACCAAAATTTAAGTAAATTAATTTGGAGTAAAATATTCCAGGAAAAAACCCCACAAATAAACAATTACTGGACTATAACAGACTTTGTCAATGTTAAATACTAAATAAAAAGCAATATAACTTTTCAGTGATTTTTCCCATAAATTTCCATATTCAATTAAATTTAATAATATTTTTCTTAACTAAGTTCCCAAAACATTAAGAGTATATATTATTATTTGATACTGTACATGTAATTATTACTTATAAAATTATGGAGAAAAAGGATTTTTTCCTAAATTTATATTTCTACCTACCTATATCAAACTTTTTAAGGTATATTATTTCTTTACTATTTACCCTCTAGGATGGTTATCAGGAATTATGAAAGTATTAATCAGATGGTAACAGGATAATGAGCAGAATTTATACTTCACTTACCACCTGGATTAATACATTAAGATTAATGTATTATGATACTATGACTTAGGTAGTTTACAGTAAAGGTATTAAAGACTATATTGAATTTACAGAAAGAAAATGCAAATTGCTCTTAAATATGAGACCCTTAATCTCATTCATACTAAGATAAATGCAAAAACTATACCAACACGCTATTTTTAATTTCTCACACTGCAAAGATGGAAAGTTTGATAACAGATTGTTGAGTGTGGTGGCCATGGAGATGCCCCACTCCACCCACCCCTCCCCTTCAAGAGAACTTGCTCCAAGCAGTGAGGCTGACTGACAGTCTTCTGCTGCTGCACCTTAGGATGCTTCTCCACCTGCTCCCAGCCATTGGCTGGGCATGGAGAGCATGCTAGAACAAGGCCATTCCTGCTCAACATGGGTTTCCTTTAAATCTGCAGTCTCCAACCCCTAGGCCAGGGCCCAGTATTGGCCCATGGCCTGTTAGGAACCAGGCCACGCATCACCACCTGAGCTCTGCCCCACCCCTCCACCCTCACCCTGTCCATGGAAAAACTGTCAGGCTGTACAGCAGGAGGTGAGCAGTGGGTGTGGGAGCGAAGCTTCATCATATTTACAGCCGTTCCCCATCGCTCAAATCACCACCTAAGCTCTGCCCCGTCTGTGGAAAATTTGTCTTATGAGACCAGTCCCTGGTGCCAAAAAGGTTGGGGACCACCTTTTTAAAGGATAACTTTGATCCTGGCTGACAGTTTCTCAAAATTGTGCTGTGGTCTGAGGCTCTTCCTACTCAATCGTCCTTTCTTCCCTCTCCTTTTACAAGCGTCAGACCTACACCAAAGTCTGAATGCTCTCTGTGCCTACTCCTGCTCCCTCCCCCTTAGCTTTCCACAGATGTTTCCATCAATAAACCTCTCGTGCATCATAACCTCATCTCTTGCTTGGAAGACCCAACTGACACATGAGTGTGTGGGGAAAGGCACTCTCAGCCATTTCTAGAGGAGTAGAAATTGGTATAACCTTTATGAAGAACCATTTGTCAATATCTTGTTTTGAAAACTTGCAGTTCCCATCTTCCTCCCTCATATTAAGCAATGGCTTTCAAATTGTTCAGGTAATTCCTTGTTATTTGCTTTCATGTCACCAAGTAACATGCTTCTAGAGCTATTTCTTGATTTCTTAGTTTTAAGCCTTGGAAGATGAGGATTTAGCTTTCTTTTCTTCTCACCTTTACCATTTCCATCCACCATGCCCATCATGCCATTCTCACTATACAGTTATATCATCCTTTTGGTTTGGAGTACTTGCGTTATATAACTAGTTACATATGCTATTTATAGCTGAGCCTTACAGTAAGCTATCATTTTCCTTTCCTATACATTCCATTTTCCTAAAAGTTGCTGTCTTGTTTCATCATTTGCTTAGTTTATTATGTACTTCTCAAAAATTCCATCCCCCAAGCTCTCTGCCAATTTTCTAAATCTCTCCTTGATACAGTGACATGATATATACCCTATTATCATCATCTTCTTAGAGAAATCTTTCTTCATTCTGCCCTCACACCTCATTGGCAGCTAATTAGGTACATAATTCTAGATCAAAAATCCTTCCTTCAGAAATGAAAATATTCTATCATTGTCCTTCTAGCTTCCAATATTTGTTAAGAAGTCTGATCCTTTATATCTAACCTATTTTCTTTTCTCTGGAAATTTGTTGTATATTCTGTTTCCAGGGTTCTAAAACTTTCCAATGAAATGCCATTTTCACCCACAATGCTGGGCACTGGGAGCCTTTTCCATCTGAAAAGGCATTGCATCAGTCTTGTGTTTTTCTTTGATGACTTATTTTTCTCTGTTCTCCTTTTAGAACTCCTTTTATTCAGAATTGTACCTCCTAGACTACTCCTCTAATTTCCTTATTTTTTTCTCTCATGTTTTCCAATTCTTTACCTTTTTGCTCCTTATTAGAGATTTTTCTCATATTATCTCCTAACCCTTTTATTGAGTTTTTAAATTTTTATTTCACATTGTTACTTTACAAGAGCCACATTTTTCCTACATGATTTTTATAATATCCTATTCTTTTTTTTTTTTTTTGCAACAGAGTCTCACTTTGTTGCTCAGGCTAGGGTGAGTGCTGTGATGTCAGCCTAGCTCACAGCAACCTCAAACTCCTGGGCTCAAGCAATCCTCCTGCCTCAGCCTCCCAAGTAGCTGGGACTACAGGCATGCGCCAACCATGCCCGACTAATTTTTCTACATATATAGTTGGCCAATTATTTCTTTCTATTTATAGTAGGAGAGGTCTCGCTCTTGCTCAGGCTGGTTCGAACTCCTGACCTTGAGCAATCGCCGCTCGCCTCCCAGAGTGCTAGGATTTACAGGGTGAGCCAGCCGCACCCTTGTCTTGTATAATTATCCTATTTTGATTATAGATATTTATACCTTCTCATAATTTTGAGAACTGAGATTTTTATTCTCTTTTGGTTTTTTCTGCATTATCTGTACATTTTATTGTGTTAGTTTAGCTTTTTTATTTCTGTTAGCGGAGTTTTCCTAAGAGTGTTGGCAATCTTTGGTTCTATGTTCAGTTACGAAAGGGGCTCTAAGACGCGTAAATGGAATTGTTGAGGGCTGAGAGCTGGGGGTTTGTCAAAGCGGTCTTATGTTCTTATGGATAGCGTAGTCTGCCTCAATGTCATTTCCATTGGCAACCCCCTGATTTCCACTAGCCGTTACGGTTTTTGGATCTTCAAGCTCGTCAGATTCTCCAGGAAAGACTGTCCGAATCTGCTTCGCTGGAGGGTTTAAAAGGCTGACTAGTAGTTCTTGAAAACTGATTAGGTATTGAGACTGATAGAGGCATACCAAGGGGGATGAGTCAGTTAGTATCTTTAGCTATCTCAGTACATAAGTCTCTACCCTCAACTGTGCGATAGAGTCATGAACACCATGGCATCTGACCTTCTCTGCCAGGAATAAAACGCTCAAGTCTTCTGCAGGAGAGTGGATTAGAAAGTGAATTACAGGGGTCGTAACTATTTACTACAACAGGATGTCTCAGGGCAATTCGCCCTTTTTCTAGACTAGCAGTTTTTCTCCACCTTCACAGTCCCCAGTTTCAATTCTGAGTCTTTGGGTATATCTGCGTGTATACCAAATTGCATCTCAACTTTCTCCTGCCAGCTAGGTTTAGCTTTCTCAATTGAGAATCAATTACTTTAATCTACCTTGTTTCCAGTTCTAAAAGTTTGTGTTGTTGTATCTTCTTTCTTTTTTCCAATGTGGACTTAATCTATATATTTTTTTAAAGTCCTTTTATCATTTTATAGGTTTTGAGAGGAATAAAAGTAAACATGACTTAGATCAGCACTATTCTTTAACCTGGAAGATCCAAAAAACTTTTTAAAAGTGTTTTTTTTTATGTGTCATTATCTTAGTTATAGTATATATTGTTGCCATTCCCCTCCCCATCCTCTATTATCCTGAAGACACATCAATTCCGCAGAAATGAAGCTGATTATACTCTGATATTTTCTATATCTATGATCTGACTTACAATGTTCCTCTAAATCACAGATTAATTTTAAAGAAGACTCAAGTCTCAGGATATACACCTTCATTATTCTAGCATATCTATATCAATATCGGTTAATTGCTGCTAATCAATGTGAAAAAAATTTGTAATTCCATGTATTCATAAACTTATATTTAAGAAATCTAGGCCAGCACGGTGCGCTCACGCCGTAGACTAGCACTCTGGTGCCAAGGCAGGGATTGCTCAAGGTCAGAGTCAAAGACCAGCCTGAGCAAACTGAGACCCCCTCTACGTATAAATAGAAGAAATTAATGCCAAGCTTAATATGTATATGATATAAATTATCCTAGGCTTATTGTGCGCATGCCTATTTATGTCCCTGTTATCTTTGTGAGGCTGAGGCAAGGAGGGAGTTCACCTGAGTCCCAGAGTGAGTGTGGCTGTTAGCCATGTGCTCTGATGCCACGGCACTCACTCTTAGCCTGATGCAATCATCATATGCTGCGACTCTGTCTATATATAAAAATAATGAAAGAAAGAAGATAATCATTCTCATGCCTGGGCACAGTTGCTCAAGCCTGCAATCCTAGCACTCTGGGAGGCCAAGGTGGGAAGATAGCTTGAGCTCAGGAGTTTGAGACCAGCCTGAGCAAGAGCGAGATCCCATCTCTACTAAAAATAGAAACAATTAGCTAGATGTGGTAGTGCACGCCTATAGCCCCAGCTACACAGGAGGCTGCACGCCTATAGTCCCAGCTACAGTGGGAGACCACTTAGGAAGAAGGATTGCTTGAGCCCAGGAGTTTGAAGTTTCTGTGAGCTAGGCTGATGCTATGGCACTTGCCTGAGCAACAGACAGAGACTCTGTCTCAGAAAAAAGAAAAGAAAGAAATCACTTCAGTTTACAGTCACAATTTTTTTTTTAAAAAAGAGTCTAAGTTTAGTCCAGTGTTTAAAGACTTAGTACAATTTAAGAGATTATTCCATGTAATTTATGAGATGTTTACTCATATTAAACGCCCTCTGCCTTCTCACCCACAGCAAACCACTGTCACCCTTCAAGAGAGGGCTAAACTTTGGTATTTTAAGTCATCCCTTGTCACTCAAAAAGCACTGCCAAAGTGTCATCTTAACCTTCCCTTTACTTTTACAGTAAATATACATATGATTCATTCCTAAGCCCCACTCATTGCTTTGTGACAGCTCTACCACTAACATTTTTTTTACTTGAATTTCTAGGAACTGGCATTCGGTCTCCCTTCCCTGACGGGAACATCCTTGCAAGCAGAACCATATTTATTTCTCTGTTAGCACCATAACTGACAAACAAAGCACACTCAATAGATACTTGTCCATCCATTTGACAAATATTTATCAAGCACCTACCATGCACCAAGCACTGTGCTAGGCATAGTGTTTAGAACTGTGAAGAACACTAATCATGTTGCTTACAGTCTAATGGGGACTTAAAGTCTAATGTTGATTTAAAACCACTTTTCAAGTCCTTGATAGATAACAAAGGGCAAAAAAATAAACATCAGTAAAAATAAATCACTAAGAATTATAAAACACATTTATAAATATATTTTTAGTCACTAAGCATGACTAAGTCTGTGTATTAACTATTTTACTCACCACCATCTTTTTTTTTAGCAATAATTCTGTTTTTCAGCCATTCTTTGGTTTCTTCTTTCACATCCTGAGCAAGTTCTATGACCACCAAAGGCGTGAAAGAACTCTCGTGAGTATCCAAAGCTGATAAGGTCACTTTCATCTTTGAAAAACCTTCTGCAAATTAAAATAAAAAGCAAAAATGGATTAAGACAAGGAGAAATATGCCATAGACTGTTTGCATTTTCACTCAGTTACATCTAATTCTGGCTTCCAAGATAAAGGCAAATGTCTGATGATCCAGATGGGTTATGGCTCAACCAATGGTTCAAAGCACACGTGGGAGCCAAGCTTTAGAGAGAAAACCATCATTATCTGCAAGCAACTCAGAATACAGCAGAAGAAACATTCAGGTAAATGAAAGATAACAATGTAAAACATGCTCTCACACAAAAGGAATAAGAAAGTATTTACAAAGAATGTGATACCTTAACAGGATTTAGAAGAATGAATAGGAGATTGTCAGATAGAAAATGAATAGTATTCTAAATAGAAGAAATGTATTTCCCTACAAAATAATGATGAAAAAATACCCAATGGGCTCAGAGAAATACAAGTGGTTATGGCTGGAGCATTAACTCTGGGGTGGGGCATGGGGAGAGGATGGATATGAGCTGGTATCTAATTAGGACTCCTGATTACAAAGGAAACTAGTTTTGTCTAATACACAATGGGAGTCTCACCAATTCATCATAAGGAGGGAATTACTGTAGTCAATATAGAACTATTACAGTGTACGAAGGGTCAGCCTAGAATATGGGAGACCACTTAGGAAGCCATTAGAGTAGTCTAAAAACAGCTAATACTGGCCTGAATGGTGGCAATGAAGAAGAAAGAATAGATTAGAGACTAAATCTATAAAAACTGACAACCAGACTGAATGGAAAGACAAAAAAATAGGAAAATGTTCGTGGGTAATGAGTAGTCCAATCGTAATTACATGGAACTCTCTATGATACCCATCTTTGCTAGGCAGAACCACTGCTATGCAGCTCCTTCAAAACTACATGTTCTAAAAGTGACACATTAACTAAGAACACAAGCCAAGACTTACACTTCCAGAACAACCAAATTAAGGGGTTCAGACAACTCTTCTGCTAAAGACAACTAGAAAACACATACCCACACTCACATGCATAGGATGTGTGTTCACAGAGGTTGAACATCGCTAATCCAAAAATCCAAAATCTGAAATGTTCCAAAGTCTGAAACTTTTTGAGTGCTGACATGACACCATAAGCAGAAAATTCTACACGTAGGTACTTAACACAAACTTTGTTTCATTCATAAAATTATTAAAAATATTGTATAAAATTACCTTCAGGCTATGTGTATAAGGTATATATGAAATATAAATGAATTTCATGTTTAGACTTGGGTCCCATCTCCAAGATATCTCATTATGTATATGGACATATTCCAAAATAAAAAAAAAAATTCCAATACCCCCAAATCCCAAAAATCCAAACATTTCTGGTCCCAGGCATTTTGGATAAGGATACTCAACCTGTATTTTTAAAATTTTTTCTGTGAATATTAAAAATCCAAGAAGGTAGTGGGAAATAATGGAGTCCCTATCCAGAAGAAACAGAGAGGAAGTTCAGCATTTGCAACTGGTTTCCCTAAGGTCTCTGCCAATTTGTGAAGAAGTAGCTGAGAGGGTCAGGAGCTAAGGAGGGATTCTGTTAGCCATGAGAGGCTAGGGGACAAAAAGTATAATTAGTACAGAGCCCACCAAGGAAAAGGGTCTGATAAAATCCCCACTTTGAAGTGGGACCTGAGAGGGCTACATCCTAAAGCTAACAGTGAACCAGAATTAGATCACCTTTGATTAAGTACTAAATTATAGGTTCATATCATCTCAATCAGGAGACAATATGCATGAAAATGGGGTGGGGGGAGCAATAGAAACAAACACATAATAGATCCAAATAATGGAGTTAGTTTAAAAGACTTTAAAATAATCATCATATGTTCAAAGACCTAAAAGACAAAACTGAGAATTTTAGCAAAGAACTAGAAACTATTTTATAATGGAAATTCTAGAATTTAAAAATATAAGAGTCACGCAGTGTCTCACACCCATTAATCCCAGAGCTTTGGGAAGCCAAGGCAGGAGGATTGCTTAAGGCCAGGAGTTCAAGACAAGCCTGGGCAACACAGAGAGACCCTATCTCTACAAAAAAATTTAAAAATTAGCCAGGTGTGGTGGTGCACGCCTATAGTCCTAGCTACTCAGGAGGCTGAGGCAGGAGGATCGCTTGCGCCCAGGAGTTTGAGGTTACAGTGAGCTATGATTGTGCCACTGCACTCTAGCCTGGGAGATAATGCAAGAAAGACACTGTCTCTTTTAAAAAAGTGGAGGGAGGGGAGTCAAAATTAAAAACCCAAGGGAGGCTTTACAGAAAATTAGACAAAGCTAAGAGAAAAACCAATGAACTGTAAGATGGGCATGAAGAAAATATCTAGAATGAAGCCCTGAGAACAAAAAAAAAGGAAGAAAATACAGACAACAGTGTGAGAGACAGGGAAAAACAGAGAGTCCCAGAAATAAAGAAGGGAGCTATTAGGGCGAAAGCAACACCCAAAGAGATACTAACCAAGAGTTTCCCAAAGCTGACAAAATATATCAAGGTACAGATTTAACAATCTCTATATACTTCAATCAGGATAAAATAAAAAGAAAAAAGCAGAGTACCCAAGAGAAAACAACAGAAAAACCCAGAGAGAGAAAATCTAAAAAGCAGTCATAAAAACAAAGACAAAACACTGTGAAGAGAAGTAATTTAGACTGACAGCTGACTTCACAGTAAAATAATGGAAGCCATCCTGTCTTCAATGTGTCAGATAATATCATGGCCAATTCAAGATTATACTCAGTCAAAATATGCTTCACGAATAAAAGAGCAATAAAGCCATTTTCAAACAAACAAAAATTGAGAGAATTCATCACCAGCATACTCCCACTAAAGAAAATGACAATAAAGGGTGTTCTTAAAGCAGAAGAAATTGATTGCAGATAATCTAGTAATAATCTTTATTAGTGAGCAGGGAGTATTTGCAATATAGGAACTCCCCTAACTCCTTTTAAGCTTAATTTTCCTTTATTGAATGCCCACCGCATCTGAGACAATGTGCTAGGTAGCTATACACATGGTTCTATAATCTTCCTACCAGCCCTACAATTTATACTTTAAAAACCAAGAGAAAAATCAAATGAAGAATTTACTTTACTAAGTTCAAAGTAAAATGAATTTTTGATGATATAGAGCTGAAGACTAGAAGGAACAAAGCCATTAGAGATATCCAAATTCTACATGTTTTTTCCCACTAAATGAAATCTTAATTTTAAACTGTCTACTATATAACTCTTACTAAAGATAAGCTAAGACACAGTTCAAGATAAAATGACAAAGTGAAACCGTATTACAGAATCTTCTGGCCTAAAGCAAAATTAACTGTATCAAAAATAAGTAAAACAGCCCCCAAACAAGTATTAATAATAAAAGTGAATAAAAAATATTCAGCAGCCAGAAAGTAAACTTCAAGCCAAAATCATGACTGACCCAAGACGATACCAACAATGGACTGATAACAAAGGGTCCTTCCTAACAATTTGGAGAATTCCAACCATCTACAGGAATGCATTACTTACGGACAAGAATACAGAAATATATCTGACTAGTCACTGATAGTTTTTATTTTCTCTCTCTCTCTCTCTTTCACACACACACACACACACACACACACACACACTGTAGCCTGTACATGCATATACACATACATGATTAAGGATGTGTACTCTGGTGTCAGGCTGTATGGTTCTGAATCCCAGATCCCTTGTTTGCTGCTGTGAGATATTTAACAAGCTATGTAAACTTTTTCACCTAAGTTTTCTCATTGGTAAAGTGGAAGAATTAAAGTTTCTTGTTCAAGGGGTTGGTGTGAGGATTAAATGAGTTAATTCACAAAAAAATATGTAGCCCAGTACCCTGCATGCAGTAAATCATAAGCAAACAATAGCTAGTGTTGTCTTCGTATTACTATATTTATTACATATATTTATATGGGACCATACTTTGCATTTTTTACCTTAAAATTTGTTAGAAATTGCTTTCCATGTTAATAAATATAATTGGATTTATATCCTAGCATTAATGATTCTATCATATTCTTGTATCATACTTTAGCCAACCTCTTGTTGATGGATATTCAAGTATTAGGCTCTTTGCAATAAATACATAAATAAATACAATCAACAAAATCTCTAATAAACTTTTATATGCATATTTAATTATCTTTTTGAGAGAAATTACTTAAAAATAAATAAATAAACCTTTAATGAACTTCTGTATACATGTTTTATTTAATTTTCTTCTTGGGACAAATTCCTAGAAATAGCATTGTCATGTTGAGTACAAATATTTAATATTATTTTTCATATTGCCACTCTGCTTTCTTTACAACATCTGTCAACAATGTATGAAAATGTTAAGATTTTTTACACCTATACCAAAACTAGCTTCTTTTCATCTTTTAGCTTTGGCATATTTGCAAAGGGAAAAATATCTTGTTACTCTGCATTTCTTTTATTAGTGACTTCAAACATCTTTTCAAATGTGTGTTGGCATATTTCTTTTGTGAGTTGTGTTTTTATGTTTTCGTATTTTGTTGTTGATTTTTGAAAACTCTTTGTAGGTTGGGGATGGTGACATTTGTGTCTTACATATTGCAAATATTATATTGTTAAAGTTGTTCCTTACAGAATGAAAGGCATATAGTATCTCAAGTGAGATAATCAGTGAGTAAATATGAAATTTTCTAGATAGTACTCACATACATGTTAAGAACAGAAACTTGCTTTTAGTCTCTCCAAAACAGTTTTATGACCTGGTAATTATGAGTAAGTTGGGTCTCGTATTATTCGCATTAGACGGTGCATAAATGTTCAAAAACTGACCTTTGGGCTGGGTGCGGTGGCTCACGCCTATAATCCTAGCACTCTGGGAGGCCAAGACGGGAGGATCGCTCAAGGTCAAGAGTTCAAAACCAGCCTGAGCAAGAGCCAGACCGGGTCTCTACTAAAAATAGAAACAAATTAATTGGCCAACTAAAAA